ATTGTTTGATCCTTTATTCTTTTACTTTAACCACAAGGGGCACAAAAGTACCATAAAAGGTATCTTAGGGCATGGCTAGGGTTGTTGGGCCCCTTGGGCAGTTTTTGCCTGGGCCTCCATCGAAGTCAGATTTAGAACAAAATGATGGTAAAAAATTTTGGCAGAATTTTCTATTTTAGGTCAATTGTGTCTTTACTTACAGGTTTATCTGAGTACCCGAAGGGGATCTTGGATACTGAATCGTGTAGGAGACAAAGGTGTTCCTTTCGATATGATATTTAATAAAAGAGCACTATTGTTTCTTCGATTGTTGTCTGTTGGATTTCTTAACAAATGGAGAGAAAAACAACTCAATAAACGGTTCAACCACAAGCTCTATGGGCTGCAGCCTGCACACAGGTACTGTGAACACTGGGAGAAATAAGACTCTGATGATGTTGGTCAGTCTTAATATTGGTACTTAAGTATGAGGAGGTCATCTTTATAAACGTAGAACAAGACAGAATCCATGAATGTTTCTTTGCTGCAATTAACCTTCTTTGTAGTGTATAATTTAATGTCTGTTGTTTTTTTCCCCCAGAGTTTTCAGTCAACATCCCACAGTCAATGATGACTTACCAAATCGCATCCTCTCCGGTACCGTCTCAGTCAAGCCAAATGTTGAAGAGTTTCGTTGGTCAAGTGTGGTGTTTGAGGATGGCACTGTTGAAGATGACATTGATCTGGTGGTGTTTGCCACAGGCTACACTTTCTCATTCCCCTTCCTGTCTTCACATGCAATTCCTGCCTCAAAGAACAAGGTATCCCTGTACAAATATGTATATCCCCCAGGATTGGAGCACCCAACTTTAGCAGTGATTGGTCTGATCCAGCCTCTGGGAGCCATTATGCCCATCTCTGAGATGCAAGCGCGCTGGGCCGCACGTGTTTTTAAAGGTATCAAACATGACGCTGACCTCCTATATTCTAAAAAGGGAAGAACCTTTAACATCCATGGAACCTTTCTATTGCGCAAAAGGGTTAAAAGATGCATTTTTAAAAGTTTAACTTAATTTAACACTGCATTTTTTTAAATGCTGTGTCATGCATGAGATGCTGCAAAAGACGAAACGTGAAACATGAACATGTAAGAACATTAATGTTAATAAGTATACAGTGTTTTTGTATGTAATAAACGGTGATATCCTCACTAGGACTGTGCAAACTGCCTCCAATGAGTGCAATGATGAAGGACATTAAAGCAAAAGAGGAAGCAATGGCTACAAGGTTCTCCACACTTAACATCTCACATGAACACATATCACAGCATTTACACAATTTCTACAGTTAAAAGTGTGTCATTTTAGTGGATCTTGATGACTCTTAATCACACTCTCATGCAGGTATGTGGCCGCCCAGAGACACACCATCCAGGTCGACTACATCCCCTACATGGATGAGTTGGCTAAACAAGTAGGTGTCTGTCCTCCTATCCTGAAGTTGCTCCTGACAGACCCTAGACTGGCTCTGAACATCATCTTTGGGCCCTGCACCCCATACCAGTTTCGGTTTCACGGACCGGGACGATGGGACGGTGCACGTCAGGCCATCTTGACTCAGTGGGATCGAGTCGACGAGCCCCTGAAAACACGCTGTACACCAGAGCCGCAATCACAGCGCTCCTCTCATTCACTCATATTCTCAGTGTCTGTTGCAGCGCTGCTGTCTGCTCTGTATTACAGCAGAGCCAGTCTGCATGCACTCATAGCAGACCCTTCATCGCTCCTGGACAAGATCAGGGCTTTTGTACCATTGCCACTGACCACACAGTGATCATGTAATGTGAATCAGAAACATAACAGTTTTATGAAATATGACAACATGAGTTGATTAGGCTAAACTGTAACAGTGAAAAAAAAGTAGTGTCTGAAATTCTTACATTGTGAATTTTCTATAGTGATACTGATTTTTAGACTTTAAGAATTCCTTTGATCTATCAGCAAGTGCCTTAACAATTGAAAATCAGTTTGTGCATAATGTACATTTTATTTGTAAAATTGATTTTATTTGTAGTAATTTAAGTTTTGTAGTAGTGTAGTTTTGTATGTAATTGTTGAAAACCAGCATGCACCATTAAACTAATGAAAAGAAACGTATAGATATACTTTTTCAGCACTACACAAGTGATTTTAACCACTCAGAGCGTATTAGATTATTTCCAAGTAATATCAAAATGTAACTGTTAATATTATTAAGAAATAACCAGTTGTAGTATTGATAAGAAAAATAAATCTATAAAAATAACAGTAAATCAGTGTGGAACCACATTTAATTTTACTGGATTGCTCGCAGTCAATAATTAAATAAATGCTCACCGTTGGTAATTAAAAAAGTGCAATTTGTTGTAAATTAATTTTATTGTAAGTTGTGATGTAGTAATCCTATAAAACAGCAAGTCATGCATGCTCATTATTACTGATGTAAATAAAAGTATAGACACTTGACCGCACATTTCTTATGGATAAGCATGGATAGGCAATAAAAGTTGTATAATTAGGTCACTTTGAAGGTCGCTATTAGGACACTTCACACATGAAAGTATGGTAATTCTATCATTTTAATTGTATATATTTGCCCACAACACTAATTTCTCAAAACGTTTGATTTTATTTCCCACAGAATTTTTTTTGTGCGAACTATTCCTTAAAGATTATGAAAAACAAATTCAGTAAATATACACTACACTAGAGATCTAAAATCTAATCACAGTTCAGACCCCTTTATTTTGCTCATGACAAAATGTGTAGCGACTGCGTTTTACTTGTGAGGAACAAAGTAAAAATTCTCACAAACCATCTTTCATGATGCTTATTTAAGGCCTGGTTGTATGGAAAAGAGCAGTGTCATCATTCTGCCAAACATCTCCTTTTGTGTTGCACAGAAGAGAGAAAGCCATACGGTTTGGTGTTATGCGAATGACCAAAGATATAATATAGTAGATAAAACAGCTACTCGTGAAAGTTTATTGTGGACAAATACAAGTATTCATGGAAAATATTGTTTCACTAATAAGTAAAAGAGGTTATATTTAAAATATTATATTGTATATATCCAACTAGGCTAAAGGTGTTTGCTATGTACACTCTCTGGCATTTTTGTGTATATATTTGCATAATTTGTTATAATAATAAAAAAAAACGACCGCGTCTTCTTGAAAGTATCCACCTTTTTCTTCAACGCGAAAGTAAGCCTATGGGCGAGACTTCCGGATCATTAACCGCTATAGGTAAATAACGAGGAGAATAACAACGTGCAGTAAACGGTGAAACTGTTTGCACTACAAACCAGTGTGTTCATAATTAAGATAATGCATTAAAACTATATGGTAAGACACACCAATTTTCAATATCAAGCAGCAAAACGAACTGTTTTGTACAGCTAAAAATAGCTGGCAGATGAGACCGGAAGCTAGACCCATAGAATTTAGAAATGGCTGCACCAGACCAAATTTCACATTTCAAAACCCAATTTTATGGTTTTGTTGACTGAAATATGTATACATATTGACAGTATCAGAGACTCTGTGAATAAGAAAGCTGTAAGAACTTTGAAAGTTTGTGAACGTTACAATATATTTATTTGATTATATATATACGTACAAGTGTATGTATATCTTGTATTTTTGTTTTGAAGTTTTATACTTTCCTCCCCCTGGCAATTGTTTTTTGTTTGTTGTAATTTGTCCTTCTATCTTTTTCTTTTCTTATTTTAATATTGTTTTATTGTGTGTTATTGTTCCTTGAAAAAAATTAAAATAAAAATGGCCGCGCCATTTCTTTTCTCTCTTCTTCGTCTATTTTTTTTTATTGCAATTGAAAGAATAACAAGTTATGAAGTAACATGGGGCTAACGGACATCACATGAAGTTAGACAAGCTACACAAATTAACAAAATATACCAATGCTAAAGAAGAAGAAGAAAAATAAAAAAGGAAAGTCTTTTAAAGCTTACAATAGCCTCAAGAATGTTAAAAGTTTTAGAAGCCTTTGAGTTCAAAGGATTTGACATATTCTTAAAAGAAGTAAAAAGGGACTTTATATCAGATGAAAACATTCTAAAGTTAGGTTTGCAATGAATGGTTCTGGCTTTATGAAGGTGAAATTTACCCAGAAGACAAAGCAATAAAACAATATGTTCCAGATTAATGTCATTGGAATGAAAATCTGACAAAAAAAATTATAGAATCTGTTATTTCTATCATTTTGTTACAGCAGGAAAAAATTAACAAGGTAACTTCTGACCAAAAAGACTTGGTGAATGGGCAATGATAAAGCATATGTAGAATAGATTCTTCATCAGTATTACAAAATGAACACATTGAGGAAATATTCTCAGAAAATCTGCTCAAAAATAAATTGCAAGGGTAGTATCTATGAGCAATTTTGAAATGGAGTTCTTTAATTTCATTTGGGATAAATAGCCTGTGAGGAAAGGTCCATAAGTTTTTTAATTCAGAGTTCGGAAAACAGATCCTCCATTTAGATTGTGCTTTAGAGGGGCACCCTGGAGTTGAAGAAAGAGCATTTCTAATAAAAAAGTTATTGCATTTTTTATCTAAAAATATTTCCACATAGTGAGGTAGATATGTGGGGGCGTGTTAGAACGAGCCGTTTTAGGAGGGCGTGGCAGAGTCTTAACTTTGATAAAGAATATCTCTTTGGTTTTGAGACTTTAGTCTTTGCAACTTCAGGGATCGTATCTATGCACAATCAGCTTGTAACACTCCAAAGAGAAAGGAACACTTGAAATCGCACCATATGACCCCTTTAAACAAAGTTTTTAAACTGACAGGGATACTTTTAGTCACCTTATTAAAATCGCTTAGTGAGATTGATGCACCTTTCAAAAACACAAAATCAGAAAAGGAAAGAAGGTCCCCGTCAGAGCCGCGCCATTTTTACGGCAAGAAAAAGGTGGATAAAGGGCGCCATCTGCGGTGTCTGACATGTTGAAGGCGCTTCCTCGGTCGCTGACGCTGCGCGGCGCCTGTACGCGGTGACGTCAGGCTCTCGTGGATTGGCGCGCTGCCATCTTTGATTGTGCGACAGGCCGCGGCGCGAGCGGGGCCCTCTCTCGAGCGCACGAGACACCGCCAACCGCCCGTTACTGCTCACCTCACACCGGCGGCGCGACCAGAGAGACGTAACGAGAAAGAAAACGACAGAGAGAGGGAGGGAAACGTTTCTCTCTTGTTTGTGGAGGAGGTTTTGTGGGTCGCTAACCGCTCGGCTAGCTGGGACTAGCATAGCACGAGTTTTTGTAATCCGCAGCCGGCCTCTCTCACACACACAATACAAAGGGCCAGGACACAGACCTTCTGGACGGAATAAACGATATTCTTGAAGAGAGAGACGGGACCGGCGGAGATAGGTATGTTAACGGCTAGTCAGCGTGCTGCAGCTGCTGCTCTTTTAAAAGAAAAGACTCGGTCTGGCTAATGTTAGCACTGCTGTGAGCAACCAAACCCAGTTTTCTTTTCTCTCACACAGGTCAGCGTTAATATGGACAGGTTACGTTTATATGTTGCTGAAAAGCCTGGGGCAGATTTGGGGTGAATGGGGGTTTGAGGGCACCTCACGGGGCCCAATTGACCAGCCATTTTTAATAAATGACACATTTTACATGTGAAATACTATTGGGGTTGTTCGGAAAATTGTTTTGTTTGTTAAACGACATGTTTGATTCATGCACTCGACCTCAAACCTATAGTTATAATATTGCATTTTAAAGCTGAAAGGCAAGTTCGAAGTGAAGCAAGGCACTTGTTACCCAGTGTCCTATTCTTGGTTGTGCAGAGGTAGGTTAGCCAAAGGTGATGGCTCGCATGACTTTTCCCACGTAACGTACATCAAACAAAACATTAAAATCAGTGCATGCAAATGAGCAGCCACAACTTCCACTTTACTACATGCAGGTGTGCTAAGAGGCACTCAGTAGCTGCATGCTTATTCCCCACCAGGCTGACTTATGTATATGTGTGATTTAACAGTAAATTATACTGTAGCATATTTGATGCATGAAACTAAAGCATCTAAAATTGATCGACCTGGTCAAAACTTGCATTTAAATATCATCTTACTAAGACATATTATTGGGAGATTTAGAGCGACAACTCATATTTGTATGCATTAATGTTAGTAGTCTGCTATGCTGTTAAACGCTTTGATATACAAGCTGTCAAAATTTCATCTTTCTTTTTGGACACATAACTGGATCTGCACCATATTGGGTTTTTTGCTGAGTTTGGGCCTCTGAATAAAATCGAGGTGAGGAGCTACATATTCTCACTGTATGGACTAGAAAAGCCTGATGTTTCAAATATGATGCAAAACATAATGCATGCAAACATTTGTAGTTTTTCTTTTATATGTAATCTAAATGTTCTATAAAAATGAGATTTTGCTGAATGCAATTTGATATTGCAGGCTTGATGGGGGGTTATACAATTTGGCGTTATCTTAATGTATACTTCATTATTTTGTGATCCATGTTACAAATTACTCATTCCTTTTATATGTATGATAATGTTTCATGGGCCTTGAGACTGTAGTTCCATGGGGTTTTGTGACAATGGCATTACACTGAGCAAGTCCGAAGCCTTTGGGCTCAAAGCACAACCATGTCTTTCAACAGAATCAGGAACAAGTTAGATTTGATTCATCACCGTGGCAGCAGGACTCGGGAAGATACTTGTGAGTGTCAGTAGAGGAAGACAATCATTTAACTTCCACTTAAAGAGCTTTACATATTCATAAGAGGAAATGCTATTGAGAAGCACCATTGGTTGAAATAAGACAAGCCTTGAGGGGTGCTTTTAACAAAGAAAGAAATGGAGCCACAGAAACGAGATCAAGTGAATGTTTTGAGGCTTCCTGTTAACTCTGGATCAGGTTGAGCTGTGAGGATTCATATTTGAGTATGTTCTTCATTGATTTAAGAATGCCCCTCACCAATCAATTGAAAACATTGACTTTTCTCATCCCCCAGGGACTGCAGCTCAATTCCAGTGATGTCTTGGATGCTCATTTGGAAATGTCAGTGGAAAGCAATGATTGGCTTGTGTTTTTGGGTGGCAGATGGCCAGGTGATATGGGGGGGGGGGGTTGATCAGATGTCTTTACCATTTTGGTCTTGGACATCCAAAGAATGAATCATGCTCTTTTGGGGTGTTTAGCCATTCATCTGTCTGTCTCCATCTCCTGTCCTGGAATAAAGAGGCAGTTGAATTATGCCTTTCCTCCCTTTACAATACACCAGACAGCTGTAAAGATGACATCTCTTGAGGTGTCGATTGAGAGGAAGTTGGCATTTAGCCTAACTGATGAAGCTACACAGTTTTTCCTTATTGAAATCTTTGTATCAGTAAATGCAGATAACCCAACATAAAAGATGACTGCTTTCACTTTCATTACACCTGTCTAATCATGTGACATTTAGTTTTTGTGTGTGTAGAGCTGGTTTGCATGATGCTCAGTTTTATTCACGTATTTGATTTGGCATGATTGTTGCCTTTTAACTCTCTCCCAGAAGTGACCAACTGTTAAAATGGGTTTAAGGCTGGTTGCTTCAGTCAGTGTTCAGTCATATGTGTATTCATATTAAAGCTGTGAATTTCTAACAGCTTCTGAAGATTTTAGTGTTAATTTATTCTGTTCTGGATAGCATTATATTAGGGATGTAACGATTCACTCAACTCACGATTCGATTCACGATTTTGATTATTTATTTATTTTTTTAACAAAATTAGATTTATGACAAATTATAAATTAAATGTGTCCTTTTATTATTGCTTGGACAAAATGCTGTACATTTCTTTGTGAAATTGAAATATAACACTATAATAATATACTAATATAGCACTTGCATATTATTGCTCTTTTGTTGGTTTTGATTGCTTCTATTGTTTTCATTTGTAAGTCGCTTTGGACAAAAGCGTCTGCTAAATGACAACATTTAAATATAATATAAATAACAAAACTACATTGAAATTTTAAAACAAGCCCCAAATCAAATAAGTAACACAAATAAAATAAATCTCTTAATATAAACAAAATGAGGCTTTGTCTGTGCTCTTTCCATTTTAAAATTAGAGGCAACCACTGCATTTTAATCATGATCCAAACAAAGATGCTGCATACATGCAACATGAGCAGTTTTTAATAATAAATAAAAAACAGCGGACGAGCTGAATGAGACGCAGATTC